GGGGGGGACGAGGAGAAAGCCCCCTTCCTCATGTTTTCAGCTGGTTCTCACGACCACTGCTTCGCTGGCGACGACCGATGTGCAAAATTGCGTTTGTCGCTAAGATCTACATTCATGCGTACCGTATTCCTCTCTTCCACCTTTTGCACGATATAATCGAACCTGTGAGTGGAGCGGATAAAGATCCAGCTGAGAAAGCGAATTCTGGGTGTCTGGTTCGAGGAGGGAATCTCCCATGTGGATTCAACATCCTCCTTGCGTCCCCACGAATGCGTCGCGATACCAAGGACGCGTGCTTTTGCTGCTGCACGCTTGTGCTTACCGTAAGTGTGGCTTTCGCGTGTTGAAGCCGAAGACCCTTACAGTGATGATAAAGCTGGCCGATGGCGAGTGCCCTCACTTCTTCCTCCTCCCCGTCCGTTTCACCATCATCACCACCCACCCGCCACCGCCATGTTGTATTCGTACTCTGAAGTACAGTACTGTACGAGTACTGTCCTGTACTCGCGGCCCGGTACAGTACCTGTACTGCACTGCCCATACAGTACTCGAGTACCGGTACAGTCCGAGTGAAGCCATGGTTTTGTGTGGGTCGTGCATATTATACCGATGCGGAAGAAGCTGGGAAGGGCCAAGGATCCTCCTGAAACAAAATAATGGTTGCTCCCGGATCGAGGAGTCGGATGGGGCTAGGCGACCGCAGTGAACCATCTGAGCGCTCCTCAGCTGCGCCTTCACCCAAGTGACCCGTCTGTGCCTGTCGCACCCTTGCTGCCCCATGGTAGCACGGCGGTGAGCGGCGGAAAATCGTGTCCCGGAAGCCTTCATTTGCGATGAAAATGTCCCCCCAGTCACCACGCCCTTCCCCTTTGGGTTTGGATGATGGGGAGATCACCTGTGGCTGTGGCGCAACGTCCCCAATCCTCCAATACCGCTATAACCCACAACCCTCAACTGTGGGGGGCGAAGGGAAACATATCCTCTTGAGCCTCACGGGAGAGCGAGAGAGCGAGAGAGAGCGTCGACTTTGCTTGGATTGCTGAGACGAGCTGAATGAGCTATCCATCCCATAGTTCCACAGGCATGGGCCTGGATTTGCCATGCATACGTATGCAAGCCACCGAACGGGATCCTTGAGACTTGGATATCAAGCCTTACGTTTCTCCCCCATCTCTCCTCCTTCTCGCATGCAATACTACATATTCAATACGGCCTGCTAGTCCAGAACCCGGACCTCCATCTAGAGATACTCCTCGGGCTTGTCCTCCTCACGCTCGTTTGCCTCTTCCCCTGTCCAGCGAATACCCGTTGGAGCACCTCCTCCGATAGCAATCACGCCAGACACTCTGGAGAGTTGAAGTTGGCCATCCTGAGAGGATTGAACTCCCCGAGGTCCGGATATAGCGAAACGGGGTATGTTTAGAGTTTCTTAGTCTGTTCCGCCTCCCACGCGGGGAACTTTGCCACCACCGATTTTGCACTGTCGCTATCATACGTATTAATTAAAAGCCGGTTACCATCATATCCTAATTTCTTTGTTAAAAGGTAGTCGTTCTTTCCACCGGTTCCAAGAATGCGCATCACAGCCTCCGGTTCGGCTCTCCTGTCACTATCTCTGCCGATTGCCTTGTCAACCATTCCTTCCTCACGTAGAAGGATAATCCCATTCTACATTTCAGAAGGCCCCAGAGATATGCCCTGCTACGGCTTTAGACCCGAACAGCTTGAGAGATTCATGACTGCTACCGGCTTCGGGTCGTTGGCCCTACTTCTCACCGTCGTATTGGGGCCTTTGGTCGTCCGCAATCTTTTACGCCAGAGACGGCGCCTCTCGGCACCAAGGGAGGCCAGCTCAATTGTGGTCATACCTCTGCCCCAGGAGGTGAAGGAATCGCTGGCGTTTGGTGAGAACCCGGACTATCACAATATCGGTTTCCGTTACAAGCCGCCCGGCAAGATGCCCCCGCCGAGCCAGTGCGCTAGCCCCCAGCTTTCAGCTGCCGATGAACTGCCACCCTGTACGTGCTGCCCTGCAGAGACGGACCCTGGTACAGAGTCCGTGGGGTACAAAAATTCCCGGACGCCCCGAAGATCCCCCTTCAAACCGATCTTGCCGGGTATGAAAACGATGATGGAGGAAGGGGTTGACCCGGTCACTGGACACCGATGGAGACGAAAGGTTGTGATTTACACCGGGGGATCGAGCGATTCGTTGGGCGGGGGAAGCCCTACATCAGATGGGCAGGGGGGGAAGGGGGAAGCGCCTACGGTGAGGGTTTAGGAGAGGTTGGCGCCCAATTCGGTTTCCTCAATTCTCAATGGAGGCAGGGGTACGATGTGGTCGAACGAATTTTCTTTTTCTATCTGGCGGCGAACTTTTGTTTACAGTATTTTTTTATTTTTTTTCTCTCCAGTGCAGTACTGTACAGCATATACCCAGCAACAATGTACAGTACCAATAATATAATACTCTTCTCGTTTAGGCTGCAGGTGGATAAGATTATGATGACATGGCATGGATCACTCGATGGAGATGACCTGGGAGTTTTTGTGTGCCGTACCGCGCAGCATGGTGGAAGCACACTCACTACCTTGCGTACGGACTAGTACTGCCGTGGTTGATGAGTACGGCGGTAGTACAATACAGAACCGGGGAAGAGGATGGGGAAGAAAAGAAAGAAAGAAGGCGGGCTGCAAATGTTTTTTTATTTTATTTTTTTATTTTTATCTCCGAAACATGCAAAACTTATACGCACACACAGCACCATACTGGTGGTACTCGAGTACTATTTGTGCAGGCTTCCCGCAAAATGCGCCCAAAAAAGGCAGACTTGCACCCTTTCTAGCTCATTCCCAGACTCAAAAAGAGTGCTCTTTCGTCCTTAATCCCTTTCGCTATTATCCACATGGGTGAACCAAAAGCAACACGAACCCCCGAGAGCCTAGAGCCCCGCTGGCTAGCACCCAGGGACAAGTGCAATGGGAGATGTTTTCGTACAACATGCTCGGTGACCGTTACAATCCCGCTGGTTGATCTTATTACTTGTTGCGCAACCCACAATTTTTGGTCTCTACCAATTACAAATGACAGTTGTTATTCAGCTTAGGCTTGATGGCAGCTTCCTATGATAGCCGTGTCTACGAGAACAGATGGTTGAGAGAGATGTGTATTGAGGCTGAGAAGAGGTCAGAGAGGCGGAGGCAGCTATTGACTGAGATACTGGACTTTGAAGAAGCTGTAACTTGGAGGTAACTTAATATTCCTAACATCCTTCTCTGGCCCCTGCATGGCCTCATGCATTGTGGGCTAATGGGTGTGAGATTGCTATTATCCTAGCTAACAAAAAGTAATACAGGTACTTCTATAATACAATATTAGTTACTATCATCTATCTATCTGACTAGAAGCTGCTTGCAGGATATAGGAGGAAAGGTATAAGAATAAGGTAAAGTACCTTCTCCAAGTTGATTGGAGTCAAACAGATCAAAACTGATAGAGTTAGCTTATACCAACTGTCTGAATTCTGTGAGTAGTTTTCAAGTGATACAGGAGGCCGCTGATATTATATGAAAAATAATAATTAACAATAATAGAACTTGAAAATAGTTTGAACTGTTTATAATTAAGTATTAGGAATATATAGACCTTGTAGCAATTTTATTACAGTTGGTTATAATCTTGTTTTATCTGTTATCTTTCCTAAAACTCTTATTCATATTAGTAGCTAAATACTTTAAAACTCTACTCTCTCTTCCTACTTCATCTTCATTACTACTATCCTTTCCAAATTACAAATATACCACTTCTAGCAATTCTTACCAATTGATAAATTCCTACTCGCTTCTCATACACAATTTACACCGTATGCTGCCAGTGCATTTATTTTATTTATTTTCTGACATTACCTTCAAGGCCTTTTTTTTATATTTATACCCTTTTCATGATTCTCTTACTATTGTCTTTATCCTTTTATTAGTTTTTAATTCCTGACTACTTTCCCTTACTCCCCTTATATTTATCTTTTTTGTTTTATTTAATTTGGTTAAGAATTGGTGGATTTATTACTTCAGTGGTAAAGTTTAATTTGTGTTACTTCCTGGTGTTGTTGGTGACGGGTGTCGCTTTGGACTTTACTGAGGCCCCGTTAGATAGGTATCATATTATTATGATAGGATGTCGTGCTTAGTAATATATCCTCTGAGCGGTCAGAAGCACAATGAATGCGCCAGTTTGCTACGCTCAACTGGGGAGAGCGATTCCCTGTATCTAGAAAGTAGGAAATTATCCAGTGTTCCATAGAAGCCCTTCCACTTGGGGGGAGCTGCGGAATCGCTTTCCATTGTCCTTTGAAAATTCAACATACATAAACCCTTACCCAGCTATCGACGCCCCGTCACACCCTTTTCACTGACACCCTATCATGACCCCCCCCCCCGTCGCTGACATGACAGTATCAGTTACCCGCCACCCGTCACGAGCAACACTGCGTCACAGGGGAATCATCACTTAGGAACGCTGCAGGCTCATTCTGAATAAAGGGCGAATTGAGCTTGTTCTTATTGCATAGCATGATCTATCCGGGAGGAATCTTGCATTTCAACTTCCCCGGACACATTGGGCAGTTTGCATTATATGAAAGTTAGGACTCCTGCATTAGATGGGAGGTATTGGGAGGCCTGAGAAGGGTGTTTTTGTAGGACGACTGGGTTGGTGTGAAACTCCGCCTTGTCGGCAGCCTTACATTTATTCTATGTCCCCGTTAGTCTACCGTCCGAGTGAATTAATCGGGTAGCCAGGGCATATCCAGACAGCTTGTTGTGTCACTTGATTGCAATTGCGTACAGAGAGTCCACTAAAATAAGACTGACCGGAAATCGGTGAATATAACTAGTTGCCGCGACCTTCCATCTCATCTTACGCCTGCTGCATCTAGTGGTGGAATATCTCATCGATCGTTGAATTAGCTCTCAGTACTCTCGCATCTACCATTCCCGAAGACTCAGGCAATTGTTATGATGGCCACCAGCTGCAAGAACGCATCAACCATCATGCCGGGCCCAACGGCGGATCCTCAGCTGAACCAATCGACAACACTCGAAAGTCGGTCTGCTTCCAACGATAAAGCAGTAGTTGTCGGTATATACGGGGTTCCCGGCTCCGGCAAGACATTTCTCCTAGACCAGCTGAAGCAAGAACTCGGGCAAAAGCATTTCGAGTTCTACGAAGGCTCCGAGATGATTGCCAATCTTGTTCCCGGCGGTCTCATCGCATTCCAGAAACTGGACAAGCCAGAGAAGCTGCATTGGCGCCAGCTTGCCATCCACACAATCGGAAAGGAATGCGCCGACAGTGGACGGGTTGCAGTTGTCGCAGGACATTTCATGTTCTGGCCAGAGGAGGAGGAAGCTGGACAGCCAGTGTATACTCAAGCTGACCTGCGCACATACACGCACGTCCTCTACTTGGACGTTCCTGCTGAACTCGTCGCGCAACGTGTTCTGGACGACACGGAAAGAAGTCGCACGCTTCCATCCATCAACCATCTACGCAGATGGCAGCAGGCCGAACAGACCCAGCTGCGCCGTCTCTGCCGTGATCATGGTATTTTGTTCTCGCTCGTATTCCCGCATCCAACCTTGCTGAACAAAGTCTCGATCTTGCTACGTGATTTTCAACATCACACCGAGGAGTACAACCTGACTCGCGCCGAAAGCAGGATAGACGAGGTCCTTGTCGCTGGGAAAGGACAGCTGGAGACGGTGTTGGTCATGGACGCCGACAGGACGTTAGTTGCAAAGGACACTGGCGCGTTGTTCTGGAAGATGGTCTCCAACTCTCGGCAGTCGAGGGACGAGGAATGTCAATTGAAGACGTTATTCAGCAGCCCACTGGGTTACTCGTACACTGCGTTTCGCCAGGCCGCTTTGCTGTATGAAGAGGCCGCCATGGATGAAGAGTTTAATGTCCTCTGCGATCACGTAGCATCGATGATGACTATTCATCCCGAGTTTGTGTCGCTGTTGCAACTGGCAAAGGAACAAGAACATGTTGGCGCGGTGGTTGCTACCTGTGGGTTACGTCGTGTCTGGGAGAAAGTCCTGGAGAGAGAGGGTATGTCCGAGACGGTAAAAGTCATCGGCGGAGGGCGTGTCGCAGACGGGTTCGTCGTTACTGCTGCAGTTAAAGCCGCCGTTGTTGCCCGTTTAAGAGATACCCACCACATGTACGTTTGGGCGTTTGGAGATAGTGTGCTGGACTTGCCAATGTTGAGCAAGGCAGATCAAGCCATTGTAGTGGTTGGCGAGGAGCAGACCAGGAGTAGGACCATGGATGCAGCATTACTAAACGCCATCGACAATGACGGCCTTCGAGCACGACAAGCTTTGATACCTAGTAATGTGCCACCACGTCTGGACACCACCCAGCTTCCTCTGATCCAGCTCACGGACCCCGAGTTTATCGATTCTATCATCCACCGCCGTAGTCGGCATCCTCTCCATGTCCTCCATGCAACAGACAGAAACGCGGCCAAGCTGCTCATGACCCCGATGCGCGATGCAACAGTTGCCGGCCCGGCCCTGCGGGAAGCCCATTGCCGTGTAGGATGGTATCTGGCGACTGAATTCTTGACGGAAATGATTGGGTTGGAGGAGTATTCAATTCCGCACGTTCAGGGCCACCACACCAGCGGCTATCGACTTTGCCACGAGAAGAACACATCAATTGTAGCGCTGATGCGAGGAGGAGAAGCTATGGCTCTCGGCGTCAATGAAGCCTTCCCCCGCGCGATGTTCGTCCACGCGAAACGTCCCGAGGACATCGAGCCCCATCATCTGCTAAGACAGCACACTGTCATGCTAGTCGATTCGGTGGTGAACAGTGGCAAGACGGTAGTGAACTTTGTCCGACATGTCCGGAGTCTGCATGCCACTATTCGCATTGTGGTAGTTGCCGGCGTCGTCCAGGCCCAATCAGTTTCCGAGGGCAGTCCCACCCATGCACTCGCTTCTCGTACAAATTTCAGTCTTGTTGCACTTCGCCTCTCTGACAACAAGTTCACTGGCAGAGGCACCACGGACACGGGTAACCGTCTCTTCAACACGACATCTCTGCCCTGACTGTGATCGTCCCCTGTCACTCATCGTACCTCGCTAACACCACTACTACCTGCTACTACGACAGCTGCCACGCTGTATTTTATTTTTTTCCTATCATACCTTTCTTTTTTTTATCTACAGATTATCTTGCGAAATAAATATTTTTATTATTTTTCCTACCAAGAAGCTGTACTATTCTTCATTGTTAATGGTTGATGATAAGACGGTTGTTGTCGGGGGGCGGCTGTTGCCGTAGGTTTTTCTGGTATTGGATTTGTACGAGTACCAGAGTATTGAATACATGAAATTTATCGGATTAAAATATATGATCTTGTATATAATTATTATGTAGTTCAAGTATCATTATTAGGGAGGTTCTGCTATTTTTCTTAAGTTATACTTTTGTTTTTATTTTCGCGGGTGGTGTGAGGGAAAAATACCCAATTTCTAAAGTACGGTTTTGCATCCAGGGATTTTTAATAATTATGACTCATTGTGGGTAACAGGTCTTTGACCCTAGGTAGCTGCACCCATCCAACTCCCACTGTATCAACACTCACTCACTAGTCTGGTGTAAACAAAGGGCTTTAAGAAATTTTCTTGATTAAGAATATTTCTTAACTCTACTTTTGCTACTTGCCACACTATGCTACACCCTCTTCTTACTAGTTGGGTCATAATCCCTGCTGTTGCCATGGAGATAATGAAAGTGTCATAATTAAGAAAAATAGCAGAACCTCCCTATTATATCTCATTATCTAAAATGGAGATATTTGGATTACATAAGTATAAAAAGTTTAACGAAGATAGGAATTGAACTAAGGGTCTGTTTGGATACGACCGTTTGCGTCCGTTCCGTTCCGTTTCCCATACAAATTTTCTTACCCTTCCGTTTCATAACGGTCATTTTGTATGAGAAAATTGAACATTCTCAAACGGTTCCGTTCCCGCCGAACAGAGTCTAAGGTACTCTACAGTTGTCATGTCTGTTAAATAAGTATGCATCTATGATGCAAGAACACATAAGTGTTAACCCCATTGAAGAAGGTTTTCAATCAAGTATTCCCTACTTAATTCCTGCCCTAATTGCTTGAAAAAAAACTGTAGAAATATTAGCAGACTAAAGGAAAATAAAAGTACAGCTTTTTTTTCTTTTGATCTGTAGAAGCAACCCAGAGGATAGGAATACAGCTTTTAAAAACCCAAGTTTAGGTGTAAAACTGTAGGTCTCAGCAGTAGAATGCTGACAAATTATGATTTCCTTGTCATTATACAAATAGAAAAAATAAAATGAATATTAAAGGTATTATAATGTAAAATATATAACAGATAAGTATACTAATTATTTCTTAGAAAAGTAGTTTCTAAATCTCTGGATTCACATATACTAAAGAATGTTAGGAAATTATCAGAAGAGAAGAACTTTTAGTATGCTTGACTTTGAAGAAGAGGTTATAAAATATATAAAAGTTTTTATATAGTATTAAACTCAGAAACTATTACATTAAATTACTATATATCTATAATATACTTTTCAATTATATTATTTATATTACTTTATAATTCATCACTTATATATAGGCTTGGCACTTTTTTTGAACAGCCACTATTGCATTTGTTTGTGCTATATAGTTAACAGTTTTGTATTTTTGAACTATATATAGTTAGTAAGGGATTAGATGTAGTCTATAACTACTCAAATATAGAATATAAATATCAAGGTATCATATCTCCCATACTTTAAGATATTACTAGCAAATAAAGAAAAGATCTTATCAATATATTTCTTCTACCTTAACTTCTATCTTAATAAGCCTTTTTAACTTACTTTAAAGAAGAAGACCTTTGAGTCTAGTTCAACTTACTTGTCTTAGAGTAAACTACCTCTTAATATGTATGAAACCCTATAACTCATATGTGAATCATAGTATAAAAAATAACATATCTATGACTTAGAACTATGAGTTATATGAAATTACATATTTGTTTAGTTACAATTTGTGACAGGGAAAATATTTTAAGAGACTCATTTGTAGTATATTGGATTGATTACATGCTGTCATTGCTACTATTACTAAGGGGAATGCAACTTCCTATTTAATATCCTGTTTTTTGTTTTGTTTTTTTGCATATAATAGTCTTTAGGTATTTAAGTTTTACTGTCGCCTGACCTTTTTCTCTCTTACAAAAAATATACCTAGTTACTACGGATAGGAAATGATTTCTGTTCTAGTCCCTACCACCTTACCTCTGTTTTTTGCACCAGGGCAGATTACTTACTACTTCTGGGTGCCGCCTCACTTACCTCACTCCCGAGTATTTTTTTTTTCATTTTTTTTTTCACTACTGGGGTTCTTGCTCTCGTCCCCCGTTGCATCAGCCTTGGTACTGTGGATAGATGGCACGAACCATAGTTTAGTTCTTAATTTCCTCTTGCCTTCATAAATGTTTGCGTTCGCGTGCACACGTCTAAACGCCGTTTGTATACTTGTACGAGTACATAAAGTAAACAATGGGGTTAAACTAAGTGTATAGAAAGTACAGAAAAAAAAACAGAGAACAGTTCAACTGGAGTAAATTGGTGTTCTAATTAATCAGAGCTCCATAGCTTGAATCTATAATAAAGTTTCTCCACCCTTTAATCATGAGGTTTCTTGCATACTCGAGCCTTATACGGAGGTATGATACAACACAGCTATTAAGTTTTGTATGTTCCACAGGGGCTAAGGGCAACAAACCTCGCATGTGGAACCCACAAAACATATCATAGGCGCTGTGTAGTCTAATACCTCCGTAAAACCACGCCAATTGAACCACCCAAAAAAACAGAAACCCGCTTCTTCCCCCCCACTTCGCGCAGACATCCGACCATACCGACTCACTAGGCATGTTGTGTCGCCCAATGGGGGGCCTATAATACCAGGTTGCTCCATGACTGTATGTATCATGCTGTCTTTACCTCAAGTAATTATCCGCACCCGAGTACTCAATCACCTGACCATTCACTCATATGGTATTGGTGGGAGGCCTTAAAAGTATTTGGTGAGCGGGGATCTTTTCTATTTTTTGGGGGGATTGTATTGGCTAGAGAGTGGGAGGCCTAATATGACTTGCTGGTTAGAGATATATAGTATCGGAGTTGGTTGGTTAGTTAGTTGAGGTTGTTTTAGCGCGCGCACGCTGGCGGCCGAATAAGTCTCTTGGCAGTGCTGGGAGCGGCGGAACAGGGAATGAGGTGATAAGTGTTGGGTTAAGTTTATGGTGTGGGAACTCTTGTAGTCCCAGCGGGCGGACATTCATTCCAAAGAATTAATAGTAGTTTAATCTACCAAGACTGGCCAGTGTCTAGGTTAATGTCTTGGCAAATATCAATTAACAGTCCTTGACATGGGAGTTAACAGTTATTAACTTATCCTGGACAATCTCCCCTCTTACACCAAAATTTTAAACCTCAATAGCTCCATGAAAACTTGAGATATTTCCACTTTCTCTCTATTAGAGTGTAGAGGATCATCCACTCTATCACCTAATAGAGCCATAAATCCCATTGGACTTGTGGTTGAATATCCTTTGGTGGTTGAAGGTAGGCAATGTTTTCTTGGCAAAGTACTCTGGCTACAGAGTTCCCACACCGTACTAGTAACTTTATCGTACTGTGATATCCTGCACTCCAGTGCCGTACTGCGCTCTACTGAGTTGCCTTTTTCAGTGTGCCGGTGGTTTTGTGGCCAACTGGAACTATTGTTTTTACTAGTAAATTTTTGGTTACCCTACTTTGACGAATTCACCTTCTCCCCATAAAATACCCCTACAGGTGTCCGCCAGTCTCTCCGTACCCCCCCTCCTCCGGTGGGGACTGCACGAGCAGCAAACGCCCCTTTCACATTTTTCCGCCCCCGTTTATCCTTCCCCAAATCACACGAAGAAGCAGACTCCCTCAGCAAATCATCACGCGTCGATTGCTCGTCAAATAAAAATGCGTCCACGGGTTGACGTGCTTCTGAGACGGTGGCATCGAATGTTAGGTCTATCGCGCCAATCACCACCGTCCTGGTACCGAGACCGGGTTCGCGAGGAGCTGCGGGAGCGCCGGACCGCAAAGACACCCTGGCAGAAGCTCAGCGAGACATCGGACGTCTTCTTTTCCATCAGTCGCGCAAGGTGCGATGGGTTTCCCGTCCGGACATTGCCCCCCTTTGTTGCCTCTCGCCACACCCTGTTGTACACGTACATGCTGGCAAAATACACTTTGCGCTGGAAATTCTACCGAACGGCTGCCATCCTCTGCAACACTCCTTACGACAAGGTGCGTGAGGTGGTAAATCCGAGCAAAGACCACAAGCTTGACGAAGTCGCTTCCCGTTACCAGATCGACCCTGCGGAATTTAGGCGAGTTTGTCGCCAACTGAGGCGGGTATGGCCTCTTCTCCCGTAGGGAGGTGCTTCAGGAGCAAGCTATCCAATGGGTTGGGCCTTGGGTTAACACAGGTTCGTTGGATTGGGTCGGGTTCGGGATAATGGTAAATAATTAGGTATTGCAATCAACAAAACAGTGCTGTGGCCATATTTATTCGATGTGGCATTTGTCAAGATTGTCACGTGATTGTACAGTACCCTACCGAACACTCGTATTTTCGGAAATATGACTCATTTCCTTTTTATAATGGAGGCTACGGTACCTTAGGGATCCAAATACCGGTAATTAAATAAAAGAGTACCGGTATCCAGAAACCGCTCGGCATAACCATTTTCTTCCCCATTTTAGCCTGCACACCGAGTTACTCGAGTAGTACTGTATGATGCTCGAGTACGCTGCGGGTACTGTACGGTACTGTACGAGTACCGTACAGCACATCTCAGTCATGTCTAGGGCTGCTATCCTGGTACAGTACCCTGTTGGCACAAGCAACAGAAACCATGCGGCACACTTATCCCTAAAACTACAATAATTATTATTATTAATAATGCTTATCAGCGTATCTCCATGGCCGGACATAAGGCTTCATACGAGTACCGGTAAGTACGAGTACAGTAACCCCCCCCGAACTGTACCTCAGCTACTCGAGTACATGCCCCCCCCACCCCTTGTAAGCGTTATCATGCACCGGTATTGGAGCAACACAACAACATAGCTGAGAGTTGGGTTGGCCCCGAACTCTGGGTCCATTTTAGCCTCCCTTTTACTTTTCCATCCTAATTTATCTTACATATCTCAGTTCACTTTTACTCTTCTATCTCACTGAAAAATTGGCTGACCGGACTCGATTAGGGGCCCTTTTTTCTTTCTTTCTTTCAGCCGGAGTTGTCACAGACAGTATAGTGGTAAGTTATACCTGTATAGTCTATTTGCATGCACGATGACCCAGGACATTGCCAATGCTATTCCCTCATCCACCTTGCCGAGCTAACCACTACCTGACCTTTACGGAGGAAGTGAGTGAGCGAGTGGGCGAGTAGACGCCGAGAAATCACGAACGCATTGGACCACCGGAATGTACCGGGGGTTGTGGGTAAGTCTGTCGAACTCACTCTCATTGGCTCCGGGGCCTTCTCAACCACTTAGGGAACAGTATTTGCTCCAGCCTTGCGTGAGCCACTGTGCCAAGAGTTCGACAGACTTTTTTCCTTCACCAAAAATTAGCGTCTATGGCCTGTTCAGTTGCATAACTCGTGTTGCACACACGTAAATTCAGCCAACCAGACCAGAGTTCGACAGACTTTTGCGCACACCCTAAGTACGTGCACTGCACTCGATTATGATTACTTGTACGGTACACGTCTGGATGTGGGCGATCGGGCATTTAGGGATTTCAAACGCCTAACTTTTTGTCTACCACTCCCGTTAGCAGGTAAGGAAACAAATTTGGAAAAACAAGCGAAAAGCTGTGTGACAACTCCCCTTAATCCCTGAATGAACCATCACACCAGGCTCGCGCCTGAGCAAAAAGGAAGGCCGGTATTGTAAGATGGGTTGGGATGGATGTGCATGTCATCGTTGGCCACGAATTCTTGTAGGGCTTAAGAGATGGATTATTATCACATATCATAAGGTGGAAGAGGGGGGAAGGCTACTACTGGGTGTGGCAGTTCCATGCTGTTTTTTTTTCTTTTTCGTTTTTTTGTTTGGTTGTTCGCTTGTGCCACTACTCCAAAGAGTGGAGTGTACTTGTAGTCGTGTTTGGTTGTTGGAGCGAGTCCGCGACCTTTGGTGGTGTTTGACTCGGTCGACTTGACTTTTGTAAGCGGTTTATGCCAGTGTATGTGGTCACAATACTTGGATAAGTTACCGTCCCGTAGAGTTGTGATGGCGTCCTATGCAGCACGGTGGGCTTGCAGGACTAGTTGACTAGTGGTACCAGCAACTTTACTGTGTAGGGTGTGGTGTGAAACTACTCGTAGAGCATCATATGATCAGCACTAGCGTACCAAGATATCGAAATCTGCACTCATACTCGAGTACGGTACTGGGAGAACTGTGATACAAGCGGAGTACTCGTATACCGGTAATCTGGAGGGATCCTCCTGCCCCCATCCCTGGGGTTGCGAATCATGGAGATGGAGGGAGACAATTCTTGTGGTATGGCACTGTACCGTACTCGTACCATATTGGTGCTACTGGAGGAGATCGTTTAGTCCATACAAGTATCATACCGTAAATTTAGTAGGGGTTACTCGGCTGAAACACCCGACCCAGAACCAGAACCAGAACCACCCCCCCCCCACAAAAAAAACAACTACGATAAAGAAAGCAGGAGAAAGAAATAAAAATAAAAAAGCAAAACCCAATGATCATCGAGGAAAGTCGGTTCTGACTTGCTGCGGTGATTTGGTGACGGATTCGTGCTGAAAGTGCGAGTTATGTCTTGGAATTACGGTGTGTGACTTTTTTTTCTTTTCTTTCTGCCTCTCGTGTCCTTTCTTTTTCATTGCGCTGTGGCTGGGTCCGTGATTAAAGTACCGGTACAGTACTAGTACCATTGCTGTTGGTGAGCTTTCTGAGGTTCGGTTTCAGGGTGGGACGGTGGTGACACTGGTGAGTGTATCTCTTCTGTATCGCGCTGGAGAACTTGACCCAGTTGCTGTGGGTCCATCATCGGATGGGAGAGTTCTGTTGGAGGGGAGAACCGTGTAATTGAAGAGAGACAAGTTTGATTTTTTTTTCTGGATATCCTGAAACGGAACAGAAGTGGAATACGGTACCGTAGGAATACCGTAATGGGAGAACTTTTGTTTTCTTTATGGTACGAATATGTTCCTTGCCGATTGGATTCAGTTTTACATAATCTTGCAGCTTTTGGTGAAGCTAGTGGAAATTATTGGCTCTTTGGGAAACGCTGATATCATATGACGCAAGTAGAAACTGGAGATATGGGGGGGTTTTTTTTTCCATGGTTCTAGAGTGCTAGATCTCTTGGGGTTCTTCCCCCCGCCACGAGGTCCGATCAAAGACTTCTCAATGCCTCATGGCGTTCGTGTCTTTGATTTATTTTTTTCCTTTTTCCCTACCCCCCCTTGGGTTTTATTACCTATTTTTATGTGCTTTCATTAGGTTATGGTAAGTTGGTGTGATGAGACAAGCCAGAGTTACTCCAGTATGCTACTAGTACTAGTACTTGTACCAGAGATGCCTAAACTAACAATTCCCATATCTGGGATCACGGAATACCATACCGGTACCTAAATTCCTACAGTCCAGGGTCAGCACCCTCGGAGTTCGCCTTGCAGGTCATCATCATTCGCTTCTGTTGTGTGAGGAGAAGGGAAAGAAAAGAAAAAGAAAAAGCTCACCTGCCCCTATCAGCATGCCTTCTCCTCGTCATCACCAGCCCGAGCGGCAATGGCTCTCAAAAAGGTATTTTGAGTTTTACTCCTTATCATCGCTGACATTTACTGATGTGGAGTGGGGTTTCGAAGACAATTGGCCGTACCGGTATACCTGTACTTGGACATTGTTGTGGGAGTTTGTCTCCACCGCTTGTGCCACCCACCATCCATTGCCCAGGTTTCCCGGACCAAGGGTCGCCGGAGTGACAAAGTGGCACTGTATCAGTGCTTTTGGGATATTTGGCGTGATTGAGGGGGCGGTCCCGCCAACCGCAGGTGATTCAGATGTTGCATGGGGTTTACGGTTTGTGCGTTTTTCTTTTCCTTTCTTTTTTTTTTCCCTTTTCTTTGCTTTGCTCCAACCAGCGAAGTTTGAGTTCCTGGCAAGACATTTGTTGTTCACATTGTTAATCACCGCAGGCCTGACCTGGTTTGGCGTACGATGGATTGGTCTGAACACTGCATGGAGGAGTTCGAACTGAATACTGCGCAGGACTTATTGCCCGAGTTGGGCCTAATGAAGTAGGTATTGGAAATTCAGATTGCTACAGTGGCGATACACCAAATGCTGAAGTAGTCTGCATTGGCAATGGGCCAATGCTTTCTCTCTGTTTAGCAACATCGGTACGCGAGTCGAATTCTGGTCGCCGTTTCTCCGAGGAGCCATGGTTCTATCAGGGTTTTTGGCCGGGGCTTCGAAAGTGCCTTTGCTCATGGTGCCGAAGCATTTTTTGATTTTATTTTAAAAAAGAGAACTGATATTGCATACCACTTGGATTCAGCACTGGTTGTACCAGTGCAGCAGTTTCTTATGCCGCACGTGCCCACTGCTGACAGATCATGTTATGATGCTAGTAGCAAGCGCTCATCGCGCAAAATTACTGGGACAGTACCGTACTGTACAAGCCCTTTATTCGAGTAGAGCTGGTATGCCAGTTGATCCCGGTATAGCAGCCGAGTGCTTTGCCGGGGAGATTGTTGTCATACAGAAGTTACTTTCAGTAGGATAGTAGAGAGCTAGACAGCAATGAAGTTAGTTTCCGGAGTCGACTTGCCGAGACTTACGAACTGGGGCTCTAGTCCTCTTGTCCAGTCACTTTCCAATTGTAGTTAGTATTACTAAAGGGATTCCAGAGTGGTTGTACTCGCGCGGCCGAGTTGAAGCTGGGCACCTTATTTTGGAAGTGATTAATGAATGGATACTACGCCTATTCCTAACTAGCTTATTAGGTTATAAACCCGGTAGCTCCAACTAGAGTATGAAATACCCATATGGGTGACCTTGTAATCAGTGTCATTGGAGCAGGCCCAGGGGACAAGGAGATTTATTCTTTAGCTAAAATGCCTCGGGATCAGCTGCCGGAGCCATTTCTATGGTCAGTTGGTTCTTCCACTATCTTTGCCTTTTACAGACTGTTTTTATACCTTCAAGTTTGTCTTTCTCAAAATGTTCTCAGCTGTTGACATTTTGAGTTCAAGTTTAGCTGCAACTTTGCACTGGGGTATTTTTGCCTACCAGTTCAGTATCAGTATTGCAGCTCTTTTGAGAAGAGAAACTCTTGGAGCACTTCCAGCCCTTCTAAAATATGTGGCTGCCATAATAAAGCTAATATATTTAAAGATGTTTGAAGAACTCTTGGAAACATCTAAAGTGATTAATAGTATTATTGATATTCAAGTTTAAATGAAGCAGAGCCTCTTTGTACAGTACATCAGAATTACATTGCTGATCTTAGTACTTTGCTTCCTACTTTCTATTTATTTATCAGTTACTTCTAATATAAGATACTCCAACTTCAACTCAGCTGTATGAGTACTTAAGTATTTGTAGACTATTGCTGGCTAAGACCAAAGCTTGCCTGTCTAAAATAGTACTTGAAAGAAATAATATCTGCTATCCACTGGTATCATATTAATAGCTTTAAATATTTTTACTTATGTCAATACTATAAGAGGTTTGTAATAAATTGTTTTTACTAGAGTATATATAGTATATCTTTCTTGAAAAATTCTTACAATATGAGAGGCCTAAGAATGTTAGGAACAGCTGAGGTTATACAATCATATTTGGAAGACTCTCAGGCCTGTTCTTATAAAACTACTATATGGATA